TTCATTTTAGGTCAAGTTATGATGAGAATTTCACTATTTAATTTAATTAAATCAGTCATGAACCACAGCCTAGTGCATACATTGTCTATTGCTTTAACTAACTAATAAATTAGAGTCAAGTGTCTAGTTTCACTGTTCATTTGAAAATTAGGTAGATAAACTCTCACCTAGGGCGTGCTCCTAAAATCTAGGAAGCAAGCCTACACTTTCACATGAGCTTGAAGTGTTTTAAAGTGTTACCCTACACTTTAACCCGAGCTTGAAGTGTCTTAAAATGTTCTACCCTCAATTAAGTGTTTTCCAACTAATCCTCGAACATATTTAGATCCAACTTAGCTTACTATCAGACTCTTAAGACATAGGGGGTAAACCTATAATTTTGGCAAAAAGGTTTGTGAAATGTGTTTCGATCCTAATTAAAACAATCGGGCTTAAATCTATTTAATGCTTAGGGGTCCTAATTGATAGCCTATTGATCTCTCAATTCATGCCACTAACTCTTGAATCATTTAAACTCTTACTTTCTCCCAATTACAATTTTATCCTTCTTATGTAAAAGAAATGGTGAATGGTTTGTTACCATATTTCCCTTTTAATTTAAATCATTTCAACAGACTAAATATCATTTTTTTTAATTCCCTCCCCTTTCTTTTTTTTTTTTCTTATTTTTAAGATCGTAAATCAATTCTGAAAATAATTAAATCAGAAATTCTCATTTTTAACTTAACCGTTAGCAAGAAAAAGAAAACAAAACCAAATGAGCGAAGGAGGCTGACCCACTTAAACAAAATCAGCAAAGCATTGAGCGAAACCGAAAGGGAATCAACCTAAAAGCGTTTAAATTCTTAAAAAAAAAACAATAATCAAATCAGCTCCCAAAACATCAAGTAATCAAACTCGAAAAGAGCATTTAAAGTTTTCAAAACAACGAGAATATAACATTTAAAGCGACGTAAATATATTGTTTTAAGACTTCCGATTTAGCATTTAAAAGGCGGCCCCAATGAAACAATTTAAATTTTCAAACTTCAAAGACTTTCAAACCTTCAAAACTCAAAACTGTTACAGATTCAAATTTTTCCAAAAGAAAAATGAGGCGTTTTAACGCTCCCAAAATGGTAGACGAATCAAACCAAAAGTGGTGCAAGTTCCTTCCATAATTTTCTCACATTTGCCACTTATGCAAAAAGATCTTATGCAAAATGATGCATTTGAATCTACAAGGTAATGAAGAGTTTGAGTTGCATAAATATAGAGAGTAAAGTTCAAGAATTGGACATGTGGAAAACATGAGCATTATATAATATGTGTAACTTTTCCAATAAAATTGTACGAATGAGCGTTTCCCTGCCAACATCTACCACAAAGGAAAAAAAAACTATCGCTCCTGTGATTGAGGAAAAGAAACAAAGGCACATGGGAGGCACTACATATATATGGGAATTTCCTTACACATGTACTCATTTGGGAGCACTGTATCTCTCCAAACTTTTTAAATAGAACATAGAAATTTTCAGACATTTGTAAAAGTAAAGCATCGAAGCTTTCAGATTTTTTGCAAGTAACAAAACTATAACTTTCAAATTTTGCAAATAACACATCTACAACTTTCAGATTTTGCAAATAACATACATAGAAATTTCAGATTTTCAAAAGCAAGGCAACCAAAATTTTCCAATCATTGCCAATTGCACATGAAACATTTAAGATTTTTGCAAAAATAAAGCACCAAAGTTTTCAGATTTTGAAAAGCAAGGCATCAAAACTTTCCAATCCTTGTCAATTGCACATGAAACATTTCAGATTTTTTGCAAAAATAAAGCACCGAAGTTTTCAGATTTTGAAAAGCAAGGCACCAAAACTTTCCAATCCTTGCCAATTGCACATGAAACATTTCAGATTTCTCAAGTATAAAGCACCAAAGTTTTCAGATTTTGAAAAACAAGGTACCAAAACTTTCCAATCATTGCCAATTACACATCTAACATTTCAGATTTTTCAAGTATAAAACCCACTTCGATTTCCCTTCTCTTTAAGGATAAGAATACTTCAAAACATTAAGGTTTGAAAATCTAGCTTTCATAAACACGAACTGCGTTACTCATAAAAAGTGAATACCACAAAAATCTTATAATATAGCAATTGAAACCTGCAGCTTATCCAATTAGACACAAGAAAACTAACATTTTTTTTTTATAAAACTAGAAATTTCGAATAATGAAACAAGTTTAACCCAAGCTTACCCAAACTTCCTCATCACAAACCAACAAATAGGCAAAGGGACATCCTTCCAAGTCACGCGCATCTTTTAATCGTATAGCTTAACGCATGGACCTCAAGTTTTATATGACTAGAAGGATGAAGAACCATCCTTAATGCTAAATAGTTCCAAACAATAAATTAAAAGAAAGGCTATTCTTCTCCAAAACTACTACTCTAAACATGATCCATCGAAGTTCCAGGCACATGCAGCCCCATTCCTTTTTTTTTTTAAATGATCAAGCATGTAAAGCAAGAAACAAGGGATCTTTCTTTTTAAAATTTTTTAGGCAAAGGAGAGAGGAGGAAGAATCATATCTTGACTAGTTTAAAGAAAGGGGAAGAAGAAGAGTAACAGAAATCTAAGAACAGCAAACACTCTAATAGTGAAACGATTTCAGCAACACCCCCCCTCCTTGCCAAAACTCCAACCAACCACCAACCTTACCCTAGGTAGGATTTTATAGGTAAAGGGGAGAGGAGCAGCCACCTACCAGCCCTAATGGTGACCGAATAGGATGGTGGGAGAGGAGGAGAAGCATTTAGGGAGAAAGAGAAGTAGGCCTCGGGAAGAGGAAGGGTAGACCAGGGCTTCTCGAAGAAGAAGAAGAGGAGTCGGCCAGGGTTCGCGCAAGCCAGCTTGTTCGCGAGTGGAAAAGGGGACACTTCTGCGGCTCGGGCAAGAAGCATCAGGAAGATTCACGAATAGGAGAGGGGCGCGGGAGCTAGGGCTCGAATAGGGGAGAATCGGGAGAAAAGAGTCGTGAACGTGGGTTTAGGCTTATTAGGGCTTTTTTTCTTTTTTTATTGATTTTTGTTTTGTTTTTTTATATTATATTATATTATTTAAATATATTAATTCGCGTGTAATTTATTCGTGCACGCAATCTTAGTTAAATGGATGTCTTTTTCAGGTAATTTCGACATTCCGGACGCGCCAGCACAGTCCGTTTCGTCATCCGAGGTCACTCGGACAAGTTCATCGATTTGCATGCAATTTGTTCGTGTGTGGAATTATAACAATATGAGTGTTATTCTTAAGTAAAATTGACGTTCTGGACCCGCCGACGCAATCCGTTTCTTCATTCAAGGTTGTTTAGACAAATTTATCGATTTGCGTGCGCGAATGTACGAAAGTCACAATTGGTTTCCTGAGGCTTTTAAATTCATGGGAACTCTCTTTGGGCCTCCAAATGCTGGCCCTTAACCACTCGACCAAATGATAATGGTTTGAGACTACCCAGGCGAGGCGCCACAAGAGAATCAGAAAGTGGTTTGACTTTTCTAAAAAAATATGGATCTCAGCTCTAATCCTCTAAGATAGTCGATAGAAAACCTTAGAGCTAGATCTTAGGATCTAAGAAGAGGATAAATAACCTCAAAATGAGGTCAACTAATGTGTATAATTCAATTGTTTGTGATTTAGAGAATATAATGTGATGACTGATTTTAAGAAGCAAGCATTGTTACTCTTGTATTATTTACCTCCTTTTTATAGGAATTTTCATAAAATCATATTATGTGGTGGAGATAAAGAAGGCATAGAGTAGGTTAAGAACTCACTTCTTTCTAAAGATGGAATGACCAAGATGAAAAGTAGGCTATGTGATTATTAACTATAGGGAAATCTTTTGAGGCGCAGTCTACCTCTAATCATGACAGAAAAATCTCCCATGGTATGTAAGATGTGCTTTTCTTCTATTACCAAAAAAAGGGAGGGTGAGCGTATGAAGAGTTATTGTCATGCCTATGCTTTGAAGTGGATGGAGTAGCATGACAATAAGAAGGGCGATTTATGTACATACCACCAAATTCCTATGTATTTAGCATCTAAACTTTAGTTTCTACATTTATACTACCTAAATCTTTCATATCAAATCAAAAACACTACCATTTTAACTTTTTAAAAGTAAAATGCACACTATCATGCATAAATAAGATAGCATATATGTAAAAATTAAAGTTCAGGTATTATATAAGTAAATACATAGGAATGACTGGTATGTATGTAAACCTTCCCAATAATAAACATCAAGACAATAAGCCATCATATGTTGTATCACCAATTAAAATGATGATAGTCGCCAAAAGGCCATGCAACAAGATAAAAACTAACGCACCTCACATTAAATATCCTTAGTCATTATCTTCATCAATACAAAGAGATATGGACTCAATGTTAAGCTAATGTAATTTTACAATTATTTATAAATTCCTTGATCACTCAGCAGCTACTATTTTAATCCGTCCAAATGAAAACTTATAGAATCTTATGCGCATGCATAACAAACTCATTTAGGCGTTTTATGGGTGTCCGAAATAATACTAAGCATATGTGGTAATATAAAACAACAGTTACAATTGATTACATGGTATTAAATGAAAGGAGGAATTACATAAGAACCACAAATTTCTAGGTATTTACATATCTAACACCTAAAGTTTGATATTTACATTTGTAACACTTCCTTGTTATAAAACTCGGCGTGAATATGTGTATTCGCTTCTAAAAAATTGGTAAGAGTGGTATAAATAATGTGATGTTAAAGATACAGGTGTTAGACGTGTAAAAATGGAAGTTTAGGTGTTACATAGGTAAATATATAAGAATTGTGTGGTATGTATGTAAAATGCCCCTAAATGAAATTCCGAAGTCATGGCATAGTTTAGCACAGAGCTTCCAAAGATTTTCCACGTAGAAATCACATTTAACCACACTTCTTAAGGAAACTGCGGTAAATATGCCATACAAAGAATCAAGTTACCTGGGAGAGACCTTTGAGTACCGAACCAATGTTTGGAATTGCAAACCAGTACATATTTGGGTCAATCATCTGGCGAGTCTACAAGAGTAAAAAGACTCACATAAACAAACAGATAAATAGATATAGTATGAAGATCCTCAAATACGCTGATCATCATGAAAAATTTTCATGAAACTATTTGGCAGAGCTACCATTGGCCGAGGATCATACATACTGTAAATAAATAGTGACAAAAATAGAAGCTTCAAAAGCCCAGTCCAAGAGTGGCAATTGTTCATCACAACCAGTGCTTTTATAATTAATGCAAATATTAGATAGATTTTAAAAAAAAATTAGAAAAATGTAAACAAGTAAAACTACTATTAGTTTGAAGATTTATGTATTTTATAGCCGCGGGCGACTAAAGAAAGTCGAATTGAATCAGAAGTAGGTTGAAGTGAAACATAAAAACGTGATGACCCTGTAAAGCATTAAAACTTTACATAAACTCATGTAATTGAGTTATTGCAATTAATTACATGATTTGTCTTGTAATAAAAACTTTTCTGCTATCCTCGAGTTGTTTCTTATTGTGAGAGTTGCCAAGCTATGATTAAGTGGGTGCATAGGCTTAGCAGCCTCACTTCCACTGGAACGGTCCTTCATTATTGAGCACTTGTTTAATACCAGAGATGACTAAATAGCATAAAATAATAAAGAAGAGTGCCTATCAAATATCTAGAATGTTGAATCATAAACCAATGCATAGATTGACCTAGAGTGCTTTGGCTACGTAATTCATTGCAATAAATTGTCAGATTTATTCCATATTACATACACACTAAAAACATTGGTATTTACAAAACTGGCACGCTCTTTCATTTTTCAAATTCTCACTCAAATATCAAAAATCACAAGAAAACCCCAACCCATACATTTCATTTTTAATGAATTATCAATGGTTTGATCGTGACACATGTAATGCATTGGTTTGGCAGTTCAAAAAAATCAGATGGGTGCTAATTTTGCAACAGCAAGGTTTCAAGTGCTATGTATGTAATTATCCCTTCTATATTTTATATGCTTTAAAGCGAGATCATAGTAAAATTAGATGGATCTTGAAAAAAAGAAGCATGATATAAGATTAAGTTTATCCAAACGCATCTATGTTCTTTCAGTGTTTGGTCCAATTTTGCAAGGTTTCTGTAGGTTTTTAGAGAAAAATAATTATTCCTTCTCAATTTCATAGAGAATGATTTGAAGATAAATAGAGAGGGATGACTCCAACAATAGGAAAATAAAAAAATCAATTATAACTCTTCATAATAAAAGAAGGAAATCAAAATTATGTCATATCAATAATTATGAATCCTAAAAATAGAAAATACTAATAATAG